TACCATCACTATCACTGTCTTCGGCACTCATCTTTTCTTCATCATCGGTACTTATGGAACCTTGATCATCACTAAAAATTCATGTCAAACAGATGAAGACCACAAAACTGAGAAGATACAATAAGAATACAAGTTACTCTTCATCTCCCACAATAATGTTCGCTCCCGCCATCTTCTTGATTTCTGGGAACATACTGCCGAAGTTATTGGCCGAAATGATCAGTTGGGCTCCAGACCCAAACTTCCTCCACTTTTCTATGATTTGTTTTGCAGCAGCGCCAGACAATTCCGCTCCCGAGATGTCGAGCATTTTCAAATTCTTATGCACCATGGGTGATAGCGCATCCACAATGGCATGGCATCCTTGATCTCGACATAAGCAATCACCCAAATTCAGAACTTCCAGATTCTTCAAGGCCGAAAGAGACTAAAAAAACACGTATACCGGAAAACGAGATTCGAAAAAATGACAAACTACCTTCGCGATAACTTCGCTACCCATCTGCGTTGCTGTGTTATCATTCAAATTGATCACTTTCAAGTTGGGATTCGATCTGAAGCAGGAAGCTAGCGCCCCTATGCCCATGGCAGTGATACCATTCTGAGGTACAGCGATCTCTTCGAGCGTTCCAATTTTCTAAAAAACAAAGTGCATATAAGCACTATTAGCCTGATGAGCGTCGGAGTAAAAGCATTATCAAATTTAAGAAAAATTGTTGTCTCGCTGTCTCACCGCAAATGCTGATGATAAAGCCGTGGCTCCTGGGACTTCGAGACGATTCCTACCCGCTATGAAAGTTCTCAACTTCAGTGGCCTGCCCGCTTTCACAGAACTATCGTGGCATTGAGAAAGACATTGCGCGATCACCTAGAACCAATGAAATTGTCGGAAAGGCCCAAAAATGCTACAAGAATCAATGCTTATAACCAAACTCACCTTTCCACCTGCTCCAAGACCATTATTATTGAGTTTCAAAACTTCTAACGAGTAAGCAGCTGGAGAAACAAGAAACTCTTGGATGCCTGAACGACAGTAAAATCGAGGTTTCTGTTAGACTTCCCAATTTGGCGTAGCACAATCTTGAAGCGTATTGTCTTACCTTCAGCTCCAATAGGACCAAATGCATTGTCGGAAAGATCTAGCTCTGTTATGTGACAATTCACTGACATCATTGCTGAGCATAAACACTTCTAGAATGAGGTCAAGATTTATATAGTAGTGAAAAGAAAAGAAGTAAAATAGTATACCAATATTGGAGGAATCTCGTTTTTGAGCCTGCCGGTGAACATATCGCTCCATAGACAGCGCTAAACGGGAATGCGTCATGTCGAAATGGGAAGGGGCACGATCTTTCAAAAATGAAAACCTCCAGCTCCGGATGTTTCTTCAAAGCCTCAGCGATACGTTTCCCTGATTCAATTCCGAGGGTATTCCCGCGCAGCTCCAATACACGCATCCGCTTCTGTTCTTCAATCTGTCTTGCAACAGGCTCAGCTGAAGCAAATCTGGTTAAGAAGTGTACGGAGAGTTGAAAAGAGACGATATACCATCTTGCGCTGTATCGAGTTTCAGCTGCTTATCTAGGAAAGAAACAACGTCTCCATCGTTTCCACCATTCGTTTTTTGCTCTACGACTTTCATACAACCAACTCCTTTCAACAGAGCATTTAGATCACCGTCATCGCCTCGAGATTGATCTGTAAAATATAATGTTCTCTTTGAACAAACCAACCAGGGCAAGACCACATACCGTTCCCATTCTCGCTGTTTTCTTCATCTTCACTCTCTTCGGAGTCATTGTCTCCGTCAGAGTCTTCATCAGCAGTCGAGCCCTCGTCATCACTGTACAATATGATAATGCTTGCCTTAAAAAGTATGCGACAAGTTACTCACTCAATGTCTCCTAACTCAACACGAGCTTGACGACCCATTCTTGCAAGTTCATCGAAACTCGATCCAAAGCAATTATTTGAAAGCTTCAGCAATCTGAAAAAGCAGTTCTCACCTAAAATAAGACGCCACCTGCTCCGAGTGAGGGGTTATGTTAGTTAGGTTACACAATATATTATTGACAGACAGACCAAGAATAAAAATTCAAAAATAGTCAAAGTAGATAGCTTTCTACTGAATTCAGATCTACCAGATTTCGCCGTCTTACAAAGCACCAATTACAGCTGATCATCTGTTGGGAATGAGCTTCAAAAAATATCTCATATCAAAAAATAGAAATATTCGCTTCAATCAAAAAGATAAACCTCACTCACACTTCTTTGCCGCGACTTGCATACAACTCTTTCCACGTACTGATGATATCCCTTGCTGTATCAGCGGACAGGCCGTTACCAGAAAGATCCACGTACTGCAATTCAAAAATTAGCTGAAGTTTTGAAAATTTACGAAAAACAAAACTTTAACTTTACCTTTAGCCTATTGTGCCTTCCATCGAAGATAGCCTTACAAATTGCTTTCACTCCAGCATTACGACACAAGCAATCTCCAAGATCCAAAGTCTCCAAGTGAGTAAGCTCGCCAAGAACCTAAGAAAATTAGAGATTATCAGCTGCTTGCAAAAAATGTTTGCAAAGCTTGTCATATAAATTCACCTTGGCTAGTGCCATGGCACCTTTTTTGGTGCAAGTATTGTCGTTGAGATCAATAATTCGCAGATCAGTGTTGAACGCAAATGCATGAGCCAGAGCACAAATTCCTGCTGGACGAATGCCATCCTGAGGTAGGCGAATCTCTTCCAAAGATTGGAGTGCCTGAATATTCAAGTCTACCTGAGGTTATGGAGTTCGAGATAATTACCAAGAAGGTTTCTGCCAATGCTTTTGCACCAGGATCTTCTAATCGATTACGACCGGCT